TCATAAAAAATATAAAAAAGATATTTCTGCTGAAAACAAAGGTTGTAGTAGTTAGACATGGTAGTTATTGATCATACCTGAGAATTTGGTAACCACGCCCCTTTTAGAAAAAAAGTTATTGAAAATTCATATTCATATTTAATCATAAAAAATATAAAAAAGATATTTCTGCTGAAAACAAAGGTTGTAGTAGTTAGACATGGTAGTTATTGATCATACCTGAGAATTTGGTGACCACGCCCCTTTTTGAAAAAAAGTTATTGAAAATTCATATTCATATTTAATCATAAAAAATATAAAAAAGATATTTCTACTGAAAACAAAGGTTGTAGTAGTTAGACATGGTAGTTATTGATCATACCTGAGAATTTGGTAACCACGCCCCTTTTAGAAAAAAAGTTATTGAAAATTCATATTCATATTTAATCATAAAAAATATAAAAAAGATATTTCTGCTGAAAACAAAGGTTGTAGTAGTTAGACATGGTAGTTATTGATCATACCTGAGAATTTGGTAACCACGCCCCTTTTAGAAAAAAAGTTATTGAAAATTCATATTCATATTTAATCATAAAAAATATAAAAAAGATATGTCTGCTGAAAACAAAGGTTGTAGTAGTTAGACATGGTAGTTATTGATCATACCTGAGAATTTGGTGACCACGCCCCTTTTAGAAAAAAAGTTATTGAAAATTCATATTCATATTTAATCATAAAAAATATAAAAAAGATATTTCTGCTGAAAACAAAGGTTGTAGTAATTAGACGTGTTAGTTATTGATCATACCTGAGAATTTGGTGACCACGCCCCTTTTTGAAAAAAAATTATTGAAAATTCATATTAATATTTAATCATAAAAAATATAAAAAAGATATTTCTACTGAAAACAAAGGTTGTAGTAGTTAGACATGGTAGTTATTGATCATACCTGAGAATTTGGTAACCACGCCCCTTTTAGAAAAAAAGTTATTGAAAATTCATATTCATATTTATCATAAAAAATATAAAAAAGATATTTCTGCTGAAAACAAAGGTTGTAGTAATTAGACGTGTTAGTTATTGATCATACCTGAGAATTTGGTGACCACGCCCCTTTTTGAAAAAAAGTTATTGAAAATTCATATTCATATTTAATCATAAAAAATATAAAAAAGATATGTCTGCTGAAAACAAAGGTTGTAGTAGTTAGACATGGTAGTTATTGATCATACCTGAGAATTTGGTGACCACGCCCCTTTTTGAAAAAAGTTATTGAAAATTCCTATTCATATTTAATCATACAAAATATAAAAAAGATATGTCTGCTGAAAACAAAGGTTGTAGTAGTTAGACATGTTAGTTATTGATCATACCTGAGAATTTTGTGACCACGCCCCTTTTTGAAAAAAAGTTATTGAAAATTCATATTCATATTTAATCATAAAAAATATAAAAAAAAGATATTTCTGCTGAAAACAAAGGTTGTAGTAGTTAGACATGGTAGTTATTGATCATACCTGAGAATTTGGTAACCACGCCCCTTTTAGAAAAAAAGTTATTGAAAATTCATATTGAGACCCTGACGAATTGGTGGACCCCAGACCCCCTTGTTTGGAAAAAAAGTTATTCCAAAAATCGATATTCATAATTTAAAGTCATAAAAATATAAAAAACGCGATTATATTCTTCTGACGAACTAAAGGTTGGTAGTAGTATAGATATGGTCAAATATAATGATGATGACACTGCGAGAATGTTAGGTGACCACGCCCCTTATTATTGAGAAAAAAGTAATTCCAAAAATCATATATCAGATTAATCATAAAAAATATAAAAAGATATTTCTTCTGATAAAACAACAAGTTGTAGAAGTTAGATAGGGGCAGTTATTGATGATACCAGAGATTTGGTGACTACACGGCCCCTCTTTATGTAAAAAAAGTTATTCAAAATTCATATTCAGATTTATCAGAAAAAATATCAAAAAGATATTTTCCCTTCTGAAAACAAAAGTTGTAGTATTAGATATGGATTTATGACATACCTGAGAATTTGTTACCACGCCCAACATTGAAAAAAAGTTCATTCCAAATTCAATCATATTAAATCCTATTTCATCATAAAAAATACAAAAAAGAAACAAAAGGCGAAAACAAAGGTTGTAGTAGTTAGATATGGTAGCTATTTTAGTAGCATTTGATGAGTTTAGTGCGTGTACTTGGCTTAAAAATAAAAAACTAATTTAGTCGTTCTTACACAGCTGAGTATTGGCATTTGGGTTGACTGCTCCCAAGTTGCATTTCTCGGCACTTGCGGCGCCGTGAGATTCATGGGATTTCTCTCATATAAAACAGCGCATTGGATTAGAAAACTCGATGTTGTAGTAGTTAGCCCAGGTAGAGGTGATCATTTTGGCACAATTACTTTCGTTTTAACAACGTGTTAGCTTTCGTAAGATAATCACCGCGGAAGTCCGAATCAGTGAATTCAAGCTAACATATACCGAACTGCAGAGGCGGAGCGATGATAGCGGTAGCATAGAGAACGGATCAGATCTAGTTTAGCGATAGAATAGCGACGAGTGGATGGCGAAAAAAGAATAGTTATGAAGTCAGTGTACACAGCTTCAGAGCTTGACTCGCGTATCAGTAGTTGAGTGTCGAGAGGGAAGAATTTGAACCCCGGTGGAGGTCCGACTCTGCAGCCCATAGCCCGGAGCAGGGACACACCTACTTCCTCCTCGCAGAGCGTATCAGCTGTTCTGCTGTTACTGATGGCCGCGGATTCGTTACAGAGAACGGGATCATGATTATCGGATGAGAGTGCATCTCAAACCAACAGCAATCCTCTCCCAGCAGCTCCACAAAGGAGTCGAAGGTAAGAACTTGAGCTAAATGCCAAGAATAAGCAAACTTGAGAGGAAGGAAAGGCGCGGAAACTTGCTCTGATCTGGCAAAGTAACACAACTCTCAAATCCTACTGTTTCTTTAGAATTTGGCCAGTGAGTGTGTTTTATCATTGTTGTATTTAGTATTTTTATGTTTAGTTATTTCATACGTGAACTTCTTGTTTTAGTGTCTTAGCGTCTGACTAAATTGAAATGTGTTCATTCACAGATTCTGATACGAAGCGCCCTTCCCCATTGGGGTTGACAGGGCAAGGAGTAAAGATATGCCTCCCATTACCAGTGTACCATATTTTTTGTATAGATTCTCCTGGTATAGTGATTTACAAATTTAAATTAATACAGATGGTGCATCGAGAGGCAGTTTTGCTGTGCACAAAAAATGGGAAAAGGACTACTATTTCTATTCTATACATCCCATTGGGCGAATATAATATCAATAATAAAAATATAGTATACTTAGTTTCGTCAAAAGCATCCAGTCAATAATGTGGAGAGTGAACATAAAAGTATTTATTGTATCAAATTCACTGTTATAATACATAGGTTATGTTTGATCCAATTTCCAGGCACGGCGACACCCAGATACTCTGGGAAGCTGGCATGACAGAGGATTCAGTGGGAGGCCGAGGCAGTTGCCCGTCACAGATCTCCTGGACCACCGAGGCGAAGACAGAGTCAGGCAAGCTGGATTCGATCTGGCTCCAGCTGACTTTCTGGAGCTGGATTCCCATCTGATCCAGCTGAACTTACTGGAGCTGGATTCATCTGATCCCAGACTTACAGGAGCTGGAATCATCTGATCGCAGACTTTCTGAGCTGGATTCATCGGATCCAGACTTTCCTGGAGCTGTGATTCATCTGACCCAGCTATCTTTCTGAGCTGAGTATCATCTGATACCATCTTGACTTAGGGAGCTGGATTCATCTGATCCAGAATTTCTGGAGCTGGATTCATCGATCCAGACAGTTACTGGCGCTAGGATTCCATACTGATCCAGATTTCTGGGAGCTGGGAGCATCTGATCCAGCCTTCTGGAGCAGATTCATCTGATCCAGACTATTCTGGTGATGCTGGATTCATTCTGATCCAGACTTTCTGGAGCTGGATTCATCTGATCCAGACGCTTTCTGAGCTGGATTCATCATGGATCCAGATCTTTCTGGAGCTGGATTCATCATGATCCCGCTAACTTTCTGGAGCTGGATTCATCGATCCAGACTATGCTGGAGCTGGATCAATCGGAATCCAGACTTTCATGGAGCTGATTCATCTGACCAGCTAACTTTCTGGAGCTGGATTCATCTGATCCAGACGTTCTGGAGCTGGATTCTCTGGATCCGACTTTCTGGACTCTTCTTCCAACTGAGGGAAACTACAATGGTACACAGCGTGTCGTCGTTCCGTTGCACACATTTATCAACCCTCATACAACTCAAAGCATAACTACTGGGGAGGAACTGAAAAAAGCAGATAATCCCACTCACTCATACACACACACACGAACACTCACACGCACACATACACTCACGTCACACAGACACTCACTCGAGCACACTGACATCACACACCACAGACACTCACTGCACGACAGACACCACGTCGCACAACTGACATTCACACACAGTACACAGACACTCACTCACGACGACACTCACTCGCACACCTGACATTCACACACACCCACACAAGATTCACACGCTTCATTCATTCTATATACATCTAATTGTTTTTATTTGATCTTAGTTTGTTGAGTGGTGTTTGACTTTTTGGTTGATGGAATAGAAGAAAGTAAAATTTTCTAATCAGTGAATTCATTGCCAACAAATGTGCATCAAAAGTAGATATTTCAGAGTCATTTTTTAATAATGTTTTTGTAATGTGAACAATTGTTGAAGATGTTTTGGAGTTGTCACTACCAGCAAAAATGCAGCAAAAGTCTCTTTTCTGCGTGATATGATCCTGTTTACATACAGCTCGTTTTCTCTGTTTTCTTGCACACACCAGGTGTTGGGGGTGAAAGTATTCTTTTGTTCTATGGCGAATAGCTCAAGAGTAAGAGGTGGTGGTGGGGGGGCGGGGTGAAACAGCAACGGTAACAGAGGCTGAGGATGTTACTGTGGTGACGGGCTGGTGGTGGAGGTGTTGTGTGAGGGGGGCTCTGGGGCTCGATGAGTGTTCCTCAGTGGCCCCACCTCAGTAGCCACTTTCAAAGGCGGGTCCATGCGGGGTGGGGGGTTGGGGGTGATGGGCGGGCTGGGGGCGGGGCATGGGGCGGAGCCTGTTGTGGCTATTCGAGTCCCATATGTTTCCATTGAGGACCCCCATGTTGAGGCCGGATCAAATACCTGAGGAGAGACACTCGTGGAGCAAAGCAACGAGAATTACAATATGTTCTTCATATCTTTCAAACGCATCAACTGCTTTAAGAAAAATATGATTTGGGTTGATTTTTCACTTTCAACTTTAACTTTAGACTTGACCTATACAGGAGCAGGATTTATTATGGTACATATAATGTTTATATTTAATTACATGAATTTAAAGACACCTGAATGTGACCACCTTTGTACTTACTGTGGATATTGTATAAGCTGGAGGCTCGTGCTGCCTGTGCCGGCTTTCCTGGGACCCCTCCTGCAGTCCATGTGTCGTCTTTGTGGGGGGGGCACCTGGCTGGTCCCAGCGTGAGCTGACAGAGCTGTACTCAGAGTCGAGGAGTCTGATGTGGACCCTGACGTGTGGTTGCTGGTCCTGTGAGTCTGAGGTGAGGACGGACAGAGAATCGCACAACAGGGGGGCGCGCCTCGGTGTGGGCAGCCGACTGCGTCCATCCAACGGAGTGACCTGCAGAGAGAATGAAGAGAGAAGAAAGACTAGAGGAATAATTACATTGTGTATGTAACTGTGCAATACAATAAACTCACAAAACAGTAATGTTGCTCTTTGAGTGCAACACAATATTAATAATAAAATCAAATATAAATGAAACTAATTAAAAAGATGATCAGTCAACACCATTATGTTTAGTTCATTTCCATCATAAGATTACATTGATTAGATTTTGTGTCCTATTTTCCTCTGGATATGGCCCAATGTAGGGACGCAGGACGGGCAGCAGCACCCAGGTCCATTGCGAACTCCCAGGGACGGTGAGGATGGCCGCACAGCAATGAAGTACTGCAACAAATAATTCAAATTCACTCACCAAGTTCACTATCAAACACCACTTTCAATCTTTCAATCATAGTAACGCTCTGCAATCTCATGGTTTAGGTTCATTCCTGTTTATTTTGTATTTTATCTTTATCTTTATTTTAGTTCTACTTCGTTTCTAAATTACCTTGCCCGCGTAATCACCTGTGTCTCCTTAGTCCAGTATTTAAACCCGTCGTCCTTCACTTCCTGTCTGTTTTATTTATTGTCTCGATCCCGGTTTGGTTACCTTTTGTTGTTTACTGTGGATTTTGCATGTATTTCGCTTTTATTAATCTATTATATTGTGTGTTTCTTTTTTTTTTTTTTTTTTTTATTTGGGGATACTTTCTTTTTACCTACTTGACGGGACATTTCTATACTTTTAGGACATTTTGAAAATGCTTGTCACCAAACTCTGCATTTGGTGAAAAGTTAAATTTCTGCAAACCGCTTCATAATAGGGCATAAGAGGCTAGGGGGCCGTCCCCCCCACCCCCCGGGGGGGAGGGGGCCCCCACCACCCCCCCCGGGGGGGGGCCCCCCCCCCCTTCGTCAGACATACTCATAGATGTTAAGATAACGATTACGGATACGGTTTGGCAGGGTCCATGTCGTGTTTGAATGCAAGGCAAGGCAAGGCAAGTTTATTTATATAGCACAATTCATACACAAGGCAATTCAAAGTGCTGAACAAAACAAGAAAGCATTAAAATCATAAATAATCACAGAACATTAAAAAGAAAGATACAAATATAAAATCCCTCAGTTGTATGCACAGCTAAACAGAACTGTCTTTAAACCTGGCTTTAAACATTGTCAGAGAGGAGGCCTGTCTCACATTCTCCAGGAAGACTGTTCCAGATTTTAGCAGCATGAATCTGAAAAGCAGCCTCCCCATGTTTAGTTCTGACTCTGGGCACTAACAGGAGTCCAGTCCCTGTGCTCCTCAGAGTCCGGGCTGGTTCATATGGGACTAACATGTCACTAATATATTTTGGTGCGAGGCCATGGAGAGACTTGTACACAAGCAGAGCTGTTTTAAAGTCTATTCTCTGAGCCACAGGAAGCCAGTGCAGAGACCTGAGGACTGGACTAATGTGGTCGTACTTCCTGGTTCTTGTCAGGACTCGAGCTGCTGCATTTTGAATGTACTGCAGCTGTTTTACAGCCTGTTTGGACAGACCTGTGAGCAGGCCATTGCAGTAGTCTAACCTACTGGAGACAAATGCATGGATAAGAATCTCCAAGTCTGCTTTAGACACTATGTTTTTGATCCTGGCAATGTTTTTTAGATGGTAAAAAGCTGCTGATGTTACTGATTTGATGTGGCTATTAAAATTTAAGTCTGAGTCCAGTATTACCCCTAGATTTCTGACCTTGTTTGAAGGTTTTAGGGAGAGAGACTGTAGGTGACAGATGACGCTCTCTCTTTGTTTCTGGGGACCAAAGACAATCATTTCAGTTTTGTCTGTGTTTAGCTGAAGGAAGTTGTTTTGCATCCACTCACTGATCTGTTGGATACAGTGAAGGAGTGAGTCCACTGGTCCATGTTCTCCTGCAGTCAGTGAGACATAGATCTGAGTGTCGTCTGCATAGTTATGATAGGAAACTTCGTTTCTGCGTATTAACTGACCTAACGGCAGCATGTAGAGATTGAACAGAAGAGGTCCCAGGATCGACCCCTGTGGTACTCCACAGGTCAGGGCCATATGATCTGAGACACAGTTTCCAATCTCCACAAAGTACTTCCTGTCCTCAAGGTAAGACCTAAACCAACTTAGGGCGGTGCCAGCGACTCCAACCCAGTCCTCTAGTCTCTGTAAGAGGATCTCATGGTCGACGGTGTCAAAGGCAGCACTTAGATCTAACAAGATTAAGATTGAGACTTTGCCTGCGTCAGTGTTCAGCCGGATATCGTTTGTAACCTTGACGAGAGCAGTCTCAGTGCTGTGGTGGGGTCTAAAGCCGGACTGAAACATATCAAATGAGTTGTTGATTATAAGAAATCTAGTAAGCTGTAGGTAGACAACTTTTTCAAGGACTTTCCCCATAAATGGCAGATTTGAGATGGGACGATAGTTGTTAAGTACCGTAGCATCGAGACTGCTCTTTTTTAGCAGGGGCCTGATGACTGCAGTTTTCAGGGCCTTTGGGAATATTCCAGAATGAAGGGACATGTTTACTATCTGTGTGAGTGAAGGTAACAGACTGCTCAGAACAGACTTCAGAAATCTAGTGGGTAGTACATCCAAGCTGCATGTGGAGGAGCTCAAACTGGAGATTATCTCTTGGACAGTTTTATCATTTACAGGTGCAAAGTGAGTTAGCTCAGAGAGCCTTTCTGGCTGTTGGATGGTTATCTGTGGATTGGAGACAATGGCGTTTTTGATGCCTTGAACCTTGTCATTGAAAAAATTTGCAAACTCATTGCATTTACGTTTGGAAGTAAGCTCTAATGGCATTTGAACAGGGGGGTTTGTTAATCTATTAACTGTTGAAAACAGAACACGCAGATTGTTGCTGCAGCCTTCAATCATTTCAGAAAAATACCTTTCTCTCGTACTACGTAGCACCCGGTTAAACTCGCACAACTTATCTTTGAAGATCTCGTAATCAACCTGGAGGTTGGACTTGCGCCACTTCCGCTCGGCCCTCCGGCACTTTCTCTTTTGTGCCCTGACCGAGTCTGCTTTAGCCCACGGCGCCTTCTGCTTATTTTTCACTATTTTAACCTTCACAGGGGCAACGGTATCCAGAACATTCAAAACACTAGAGGTGACAGAGTTAAACAGTTCATCTACAGTAGAATACGATGCATTCTCAAAGTTTATCATTCCCATAAATAGTTCACTCGTATTTTCATTTATGTGTCTTCTTCGTACAGTTGCAGAGTCCACTGGTGGTTTGTTAGTGAAACACATGTCAAAAAAAAACACAGAAATGATCCGAAAGAGCAACATCGACCACGTTTACATTTGAAATATTCACCCCCTTAGTAACTAACAGATCTAGAGTGTGCCCTCTGCTGTGGGTGGGGCCACTTACGTGCTGAGTGAGATCAAAGGATTCAAGTACAGAACTCAGCTCATTTGCATTTCTGTCATCAACATTATCCACATGAATATTAAAATCACCTGTAATAACCAAACTATCAAAATCTGTGCATACAACTGAAAGCAACTCGGTAAAATTATCAATAAAACTGTGACATGACTGCGGTGGCTTGTATAGGACAATGAAGAGTATTGGAGGAGATTGTTTTTGTTGTATTTTAAAAGACACATATTCAAAAGACGAAAACTTCCCAAGAGACATTCTATGGGAGACAAAGTGGTCTCTGAAAATGGCAGCTAAGCCTCCTCCTTTTTTGTTTTCCCGTATTTCAGATTCAAACTTGAAATTTGGTGGTGATGCTTCTATTAAAACTGCATTTCCTGAATTTTGGTCAAGCCAAGTTTCAGCCATGAACATAAGATCAAGATTATGAGAACAAATAAAATTATTGATTAAAAAAGACTTGTTACAAAGAGATCTGACATTAAGCGTAGCAAGTTTCAAAGTTTCAGTATCAGCGGTTGTGGTCGGCTGATTCTTACACGGAACAAGAATTAGATTTTCCAGATTAGACTTATTAACTCCAGATGTCTTTCTGTAATGTATTCTTTGTGTTATCACTACGGGAATGGCACAGATGGCTTCATGACAGGGCCCCAGCCGGGTCTCTCCTCTAACTAGACTGCCAGTGGCTGCGAAGCAGAGACCCTGTGCATCCTAGTGTTTAGAGAAAAGAGGGGAAGGGGAAGGCGGGGGAGGAGGATGGAGAGGTGGGTGGCTTTTGGGTGTTGAACGAGGGGGGCAGGGAGGTGGAGGGGTTTTTGGTGATGGGTTAGGGCCGGGGTGGGCTGAGGCAGAGGTTTTGGGTGCTGAACGAGGGGGAAGTGGGGGTGGAATGGTCATGAGGTTAGGGGAGGGACTGGCTGAGGTGGTTTTTGTAGGTGAATTGGAAACCCTAGGTGGTTTTGGAGGTACATATGGGGAGTGGTTTAGCATGTTGGACAGGACTCTAGATCTAGCTAATATGGGTGTGAGAGGAATAGTCTTCATCGCCGATTTTATTAGCCCTGCAGAGTGTTCAGGTAGGTCTAACAGTGAAGGCGGGGATGAAAAACAAAGGGACGTGTCCCCATTCTCTCTTGATGGAGTGGACGTGGCAGGGGGGACCCAAGACAGGTCCATGGGAGGTGGCGAGGGAGTCTTTGATGGAGGGGCAGGTGGTTGAGGAAACCCCAGCACAGGCCTGTCTGCTGTAGCCTGGGGTGAGGATGGGGGCTTCAGAGGCGCTGTAGAAGAAGAAGGCGTGGCTGCTTTGGAGCAGGCTAGGGATGAGGATGTTGGTGGTGGTGGTGGTCGTGCTGCTGGTGCTGCTACTGGTGATGATGCAGCTGCTTCTGATGACAGTGGAGGAGTTGAGATCCTTTGAGGCGGTGATGGTGTTGAGATCCTTCGAGGTGGTGGTGGTGTTGAGATCCTTTGAGGTGGTGGTGGTGTTGAGATCCTTCGATGTGGTGGAGGTGTTGAGATCCTTCGAGGTGGTGGAGGTGCAGAGACTTTTAGAGTCGGCTTCCTCCTTTTCGATGGCTGCACGAGCTGCGCAGGCTGAGGTCTCAGGGCAAAAGAAAGGTTATCCATCAACACTTTTACTCCGTAAGTGTTCAGATGTGGCCCTTTCCCTTCAAAAAGCTCATGCCTATTCCAGAACAGATTAAAATTCTCAATGAAGGCAAGTCCTCTGCGTGAACATTCGTTGAGTAGGAAAGTATTTAGCTGATACAGACGACTGAATTTCATTTGCTTCCCGTCCACATTTGGTAGTGGGCCACTGATAACGATTGTTGCATCCATTTTAGCAAGGTCGTCCAATAAGAGAGAGTAATCCCGTTTCAACTTTTCACTTGTGTTGTCATAGACGTCTACTGCCCCCACGTGGATCAACAATCTTTTTACCCCGCCGGTCTCAGACAGAAGCCTCGGAGCCAGCCGCCTTATCTCATCCACTTTGGCAGAGTGTACTGAGTGAACCTTGAGATTACGCATGTTTACGCGTCTTATCGCCGAATCGCCGATAAAGAGCGACTCAGCTGCATTTGACCTTGACTGAGACTGAGACTGGGACTGAGAGACTACTGCTGATTCATCTTCCAAAAGTGGGGAAAAGCGGTTTCTTGTAATTAAAGATTTTTGCTGTGGCATTATGACACTCTTGTTATCATTAGCTTTGCCTTGTTTGGGCTTGGCACCATATGTGTTCCAACAATTGTCTCTGTTGATTTTGGGAAATGAAATAGCGTCATCATAACTTACGTTTTGTCCATTTGGTCCATTTCCCTTCATTGGTATTGTTGTGTTCAGCCCCAATTCTGATTCAAGCACAAACATTCGGTCTTGAAGAAGTTTTAGCTCCTGTTTGAGTGAAAAACAGCCGTCGCAAAGTTTTGTTCTGTTTTCCCGTCCTCCCGACATGCTGTAAGTTAGGTAAATTCCACAAGTCTTGTGTTGAAGTTTGTAAAAAGGAGTAATCCGTGTTTTGTGGAATAAAAATGTAAGCAAAAATGATTAAAGGAGATAAAAAAGCAGAAAGCGAGGAGCAGCAAGAGAATGCGACTGCTCTGTCCAGAGGTCGCACACACGCATTAACCATAACATTAAACAGGATTGGGCTACACACGCTTCCCTGAGGAATACCATTTTCAACATCATAAACATCGGAAAGCGTGGCTCCAACCCTGACTTTCTATCAAACAGGAAACTTTTAACCCAATTCAGTAACTTACCCCCAATACCAACTTTGCACAACTTAATGAGCAGGCCTTCTTTCCACACCATATCATACGCCTTCTCGACATCAAAAACCCAGCGATAACCCTTTCTTTATTTGTCTTTGCTTTTTGAATTTCTGATTCCAGGCACAGTACAGAGTCCATGGTATTCCTACCTAACGAAAGCCGCTTTGGTGAGTGGAAAGCAAATTCTGGGTTTCTAAAATAAAGTTTAATCTTTCTGTTACCATGCGCTCCATAGTCTTTCCCAGCTGTGATGTTAATGCAATAGGCCTGTAGCTTGACGGGTCAAAAGGTGATTTTCCCGGCTTCAACACTGGGACTATAACAGACTGTTTCCAAGACATAGGAATGCTCCCAGTGTCCCAGACAAGATTGAACAAACTCAGTACTAATTCAAGTGTCTCCTCAGTCAATTGAAATAGCATGTTATAACATACATCATCTTTACCAGGGGTTGTTTGTCTCGCCTTAGACAGAGCTCTCTTCAACTCAAAAAGATTAAATGGAAGGTCGAGATCATCCTGAGCTGTATGTCGTGATTGAATCAAATTGTCAAACTGGGCCAAAGTGCTGTCCCTACATTCTCGTGCTTCAGGCGTAAGGTTGTCAGAGCTGTGGACAGATACAAAAGTTTCAGTCAACATTTTAGCTTTGTCGTAATTGTTGCTTGCCTCTGTGCTATTCTTAATTAAAACTGGCATATTATAGTTTCTCCTCACCCCACTCATACGTTTAACCATACCCCATATGCCGGATAGTTGAATCTCTCTCCCAATTCTCGTTGTGTACTGTCTCCAGTAAGTTCTTTTAGCTATTTTAATAGTTTTCCGCACAACAGCTTGAACTACAAGAGCTTCCATGGAGTGTACACGTTTTACCTTTTTAAAAGTCTTATCTCGCGCCCTAATAGCTTCATTGCAAATCTCATTCCACCAAGGCACACATTTCTCATGATAGTTACCTTTACTTTTAGGGATAGAATCCTCTGCTGCCTGGATTATCAGTGAAACTATACTGTTATTTAACACATCTACATCAGTAGACATTTCTTGGAGCGAAGCCATTCCATACGAGTCAGTTTTTACTCTGAACTCATTCCAATCTGCATTTCCTAGCTTCCATCGGTGTATCTTTGTCTCTCTGTCTAAACACATTTCCATACCAATTTTAATGCCTTTAGTCGTCATCTGGTGACTGAGTAAGTAAGAGAAAACAAATAGAATACAGACTAGCGATCGATTTATGGGAATCATAAATTAATATATAATGGTACATTTGTTGAATGTTTTTCACAATAAAATAATAAGGCAATATTGTTGTTACGCCTGAGAAGCAAATAGAAATGGTCGGCCTGTTGTTGTTTTGCCACTAGATGGCGGACGTGTTGCACAAAAATCTTGGATCCATTTGCTTTTGGTTGATTAACTTTAGAATGTGAGAAATTATGTTATTGTAGCTCTACAAGGCGTATCATTATAATAATAAATGTCTTGGTTAGAGATAATCAGTCCTTCTAATCAAAGCACAGTTGCATATTTCCACTTAAAAGCCTTATTTTCAGGATTTAATGATATTGTTGTGTGAACCTTTTTCATTTTCCATAGTGCCTGAGTGAAAAATATATTGATCAAGAAGACCCATAGAGTATCCCCTGCTTCTCCACCCGACCAGTGTAGCCTCTAGGTACAATGTCTCTTTCAGAGCACTTATAAATTAAGCCAGAAAAACATCACCAAAAAGAGGAATATTCTGCCAAAAAGTGGTGCTAAAAAATGTATCTGTGTATTTAAATAGAAAGACTCAACAGACAAAGCGATGTATTAGAATTGGGATATGATCAGTGGGGGCGGGTCCCGGCTCAAAAAGGTTCATGAGCATGTGCGCTGACATGCTTGCAATCTCACTCCTAGCCGGTGAGGGTGAACCCGGGAGGAGGAAGAGAATCACCCAAAGCTTTTTTATGCCACCTTCTTTTCTCTCGAAAACGACTTTAGGATGGTCCAAAAGTTGGCTCTTGGCCCAGATATGTGTCATTGCTGAGAGGAGTATTTTTTTTGGGACCAGCCGAGTTTAGCTGCTGTGGACTTTTGAATGCACAGTATCTTCTTCCGCATGTTAAATTAAGTTTTTACTGCTTTATTCAAATGATGTTTTTGTGATCCGGCACGAGCGGCATTTTATGTATATATTATACATATATATATTTATTTTATCATTGTGTGCTGTGTTTGTTGTGTTTTATATTGGTTTTATCTTTGCAGTGTATTTATTTATATATTTTAAGACTTGCCACCACCCGCTCATCACATGACCCATCCACGAGACTTTGTCCCATCATTGCATAATTGCACACACCTGTGTGGCCCACGGTCCCGATGGGGTTCGCGGCCGTGGTCCCGAGGGGAGTGCGCCTATGGACCTGACGCGCTGACAGAGCTGACGGGACCATACGGGACCATACGGGGAGCAGCAGAGCAGCGGCCCACTGTCAATATATCGATATATCGCGATACTTTCTCCCGCGATTCGATTATCGATATGCCAAGTATCAATTTTGAAAAAATATATATTTAAAAAAAAAAAAATTTAACAATTTTTTGTTTGTTGAATTGGTATCAATACTTAATATATGGCTACCAGTGATGGGCAAGCTACTTGATTTGTGTAGTGAGCTAAGCTACAAGCTACTCTACAATAAATTCAGCTTCACTACACAGAAGCTACCACCCATACAAATGTAGCAAGCTAAGTTACAAAATTCTGTCAAAAGTAGCTTGCTATATAGAAGCTATTTTCAATTAAACAAACTGCAGTTCATGCAATTTTATATTTTCCTGCATTAACATGTTTGCTCATTTCTTATTTTTTGCACAATTCTTGAGTGTTTTATCCATGCCAAATGTGACATGTAAATGTCTCCTGTGTGAGATTAATAAAGCTTATCTTCTTATTTGAGATAAACTGTCAGTCAGATAAAGGTTAAAATGCTGTAGATATTTATTGAACAATAGCCCAAAACACCAAAAACAACAAGAGTAGGCATCTGAAAACATATTTCTTTTCGCTCATCTGGACTAGAGTGACGTACTTTTGGAGGTATGGCCACGGCACAACACTTTGAGAGTATCATGGTCCTCCTCCACCGCGGCGGCTCCTGGGCTCCCTGCCATGCTTTTGCTTCCCCCAGTAGCTCGCGCGCATGTGTGTGTGTGTGTGTGTGCGCGTACGTTCGTGTGTGTGTGTCGTTACCAAGCCCTGCGCATGCGCATCAGCATTCTGTCTTTCTTATATGTTTGTTTTATGCTGCGGGAAAATGCTGTAATATATGAACATCAGAGATGTCCGTGAGAAAATAGCTTTGGCGGACGCTACCGCGCTACTTGAGCAATAATATAGCTTAGCTACAGAAAAGTTACTAGGTTTTGTAAATAGTGACGCTACTGTCAAGCTACTGAAAAATGTAGTTAAGCTTGTAGCTACTGCCCATCACTGATGGCTACATTACGCATCTCCATTCCATTGATCATAAAACAAAGTGTATTTTTTCTTTTATTTATGCCATAAATTGGCATATTGTCTATTTCTGACCAATATCAATAATCGTCATATCATGATAAAATCGTTATTGTGATAATATTGTTATCGTGAGCTGTGTATCGTATCATATCGTGAGGTACCCTTAGGTTCCCACCCTAGTCATGAGGGGAAGACGCCACATGCACCGGGGACGACGCGCACGCTGGAACCACAAGTGCTACGAAGCGACATACACGCAGAGGCAGAGGAGGACTCTGCCTTCCGTGTGAGTACCCTTGGGGCCCGTAGTAGTACTTGTCGGAGGAGCTAGCTTGAGAAACAGTGTTGTGAGCATTTGACTGCCGCTAGTTGTCTCTGCGTAGGTGTTCCAGCGTGCAGAGGAGAGCCAGCCAGGAGAGATCGGGACTGAGTGTTGTGAAGTGATCTACATGCAGGGGCAGAGGAAACTCTGCCTTGTGTGTAAGTATTGTAGCGACACTCCACCCTCGTAGCCCCAGGCCTTGTTGTCTCGGACCCCTGTGCTGGTGTTTGTCTTGTATTCCCAGGTGACCCGGTGCGTGTGGAGAGGGACCGCTCCCCAGGACAGCCCGTAGCACGTGCAGTCTTGGACCGTCGTTTTAAGTATTTTAGCCCGATTTTTTTTTATGGACTTTTAGTATCCTGGATGTGCACAATTTTATAATTTTATTTTTGCAATAAATCTTTTAATTTTTCAATTTTCCTGTCTTCCCTTGGTAAACAGTGTGCTCTCACCCGGTCATCTCTCCTATCTACATTAGCTCCCCCTCTGTTTCAATAGCCCCACCATTACATATTGATCACTTGTCCATAAAGGTCCCAGATTTATATAATGCATAACTAACGCTGGCTTCTTGCCATATATTTGACAGAACGACCTCTTTTTTGATTTCAAAGTATCTTTTGTTTTAATTATTCTATTGCTCAGTTTAATTGTTTAATGTAAATTGTAAATGTAGATTTATTTATTGAAGTGCCTCTGCCCCCTAGCTTGGTTATTTGAGTCCTCTACTTGTGTTTGTTTATGTACATGTTCTAATAAAGTTTATTAAAAAAAACAAAAAGGTTAAGAGTTGCACACTATTGTTTATACCTTGTTCAGATGACAGTAAAACCTCCGATCGCTGCTCCTACAGATTCCAGCCAAGACTGCTGTCCGCTGCTGTGAGAGGTCATTCTCCTACGTCATCGTTGCCATTTTGGCGCCCCCTAGCGTTTCTATGCGGAGGTGAAAAAATGCAACTTCATTTTTAACATAATTCATCTAAACATGTCAAAATGAACATCTGAAATATTACAAACACATATTGTAGTTATATATTCTGGATAGCAGCATATTAAATTCTAGTACTACTTTAACCTCTGCAAGAGCTGGGTTCATGTGGACCAGGCCTCGAATGTCCAGGAAGTACACATCCTTCATCTGGACAATCTCTTTATTTATCTTTAAATGCAAATAAAAACTGAAACAAAGTAAAACACTTAAACAAGCTGTTAATGAGCAAAGGCCTTTCTTACAGTAAAGGTGCAGTTATTTGGCAGCAATAGAGATGGGACACACACACTGGCCTAAACTCCTGATTCCCCAGGCCCCAGGAGCACACCCCTTCACCCCCACCCCCCAGGCCTCATCCAAGGCACGGTCACATAGGTTTTTACAAACAAACTAGGCCAACTAGAGACTCCGGATGCACGCCAGTGGACTCATCTACAGCCTGACCATCCATGGGGACAGACTCCGTCATTGTGGTTCTGGAGGTTTTTCATGTTTTGCCACTGGTTTCTTTGGAGTTTTTCCAGATGAAGGAGGAGAAATAAAGAAAACCCATGACACCTCTGATCTGTCTGAGGAGAAAAGACTTGCATCATCAGTAGCATTTTACAACTCTTTACAACTTAAACTCATTTTCCACCTTCTTTTAAAGACTCACCTTTGTTTTACTCGGTACGCTAGGTTACTCCATTGAGTCCTCTGGAGATGTCATGGGCTCATCAACGAAACATCAAGGATGGAGGGTTTTCACCTGATGACACCAATGATGCTTTTCTGTCCTGGTCCCAGACCATGAACAACATCAATGACTCAAATCTGGGATCGAAACATAGTCCTAAAATCTCTACTCACTCTATTTGTGCTGTTTGTCTATTTGTTGATAATTGTTATTTTGTCTTTTATTCAATTATTTTTTATTTCAATATGTGCTATTTATATAACGTTTGAAATAAATAACTGACAAATACACAATAAAGTATTAGTATTTGTTACGAGCACAGAAGTGGCATTTATTCACATACAGCATTATCACACTCCTCCCATCTGGCCACACCTGCCAACTATTGGGCAATGTTATCAAACCACCTTTAAGCCAAAGTGAGTTTTCATGTATTAGTGGAACGCATGTGACCAATGGACGTCATCAGGTAATCTGTTTATTCACAGACTTCATTGTCCAGTTATTCAGGCTGAAACTAGTGAGAAACAGGGCACCTCAGTGTGCATCACAGCAGGCCACCCCCAGTTACTGTATTTATCATCTATCCAGAAAGAGAATCTGTCTGAAGAGACCACATTCTAAGGGACACGACCTTCACAATTACACAAGTAATCAGATTTGGGATGTTTGTCTTATGTGTCACTTGTCACATTTTGATGTTTTTTTTTATGTAGGACCCGAGGAATAGGAACTCAATGATGGGGATACAAACACACTAAACTAAACATAACTACCCTCATGCCATTGAATAAATAGAGTTTATACAGTATAAATCAAGAGAAGGACAACTATTGAGTTTTATTTGTCGTGAGTCCGTTTTTTGCAAACGTCGTCTGCAATATGCCTACATTGCTCATAAAATCAATATATGCATTGGAATACAGACAGGAGACATTGGGGGCACCAGCACCACAAAGCACACACGCACAGACAAACAGAATAAAAATAGCGAGGCAAGACACAGTGAGGCACATATAAAAACTCTTAAAAGCATTATTAAGAAGCTTCAAAGGAGCTACAAAGTTATGCAGCCAGTGCCTTTATTTTTATTGTGTTAGAGCTTCCTGGCGATTCCTGCTTCCCAGTGTGTTTATGTGAACAGCAGAAAAAGCCGACAGAGTGCACTGCATTTATTTCGGTACTGTTTTGTTGTGTCTTTGTTTTGGGTGGAGGTTGAAAAAATGTGTCAAAGTATTGGTTTGTCTATGAAGCTTGAAGTTGTCTCTGTTATGCTAGGAGAGTTTATAGATGCACAGTCAGGATCTAATTAATTTAATCATTGTGCTTGGTAAAAGATTTATTTTTAAGGCCAAAAATCGATATTCACTCAATATGGGCAAATTTAAAAAGTTCATTCAGCGTTTTTTAATTTTAGAAAGTTGTACGATCAAAACTGATGCTGAAGTCAAAAAACATACACATCGATTGGAGATTCTGAAAATTATTTATTATTAATAAATAAATAATTAATTATCTTAATTATTTTTAAAATGTTACTCTGATACATGTTTTTTGTACGTAAATTAAGGTGTGTGGAAACCGCCTGGACTCGACCAGGTTTGAGAATCTTTTTTACCATCAAAATCACTTTAAATTTGTGAAGTGCAGACAATGTAGATAAATGTAATTAACATAATAATAATAGTAATTAATAAGTAGTCTGGAAAAAAACGCTGCGGACAAAGACACGACAATAGTGACCAACATCTACACAACCAGATGGTTATTGTTTTAACAGAAATAAGGCAGTTTTTTTGTTTTTTTTTGTGGGGGCAGGGGGGTCCCTGGAAAACAGCATTAATTCCTTAAACAGGACAATTAAAACAGACTGACAAAACCTTAAAACCTTTCAAAATACAGTTCGAATGAGTGAGTGAGTGTGAATGGGGGATGAGGGAGG